TGTTTCGAGGAAGCTGTCTTTGAAAGTATGTGTCTCTACTACGTGACTATCCCCGATGCCATCACCTGCCATGTCCTTTCCTAGCATGTCCCACATGCATTGTTGGGCATACACCTGCTGCAACCACAGTCGGATCTCCGTCATCGTTGTCAGTCGAACAACAGGAGAAGCCACCTGAGGTGGAAAGTAGACTATCGCATGAACTACCCACAGTGCACTGTACTGAAAGGTTATCACCACCTGGGCGAGTTGTTGCAGACCAAATCTTCCAATAGCTAAACACTTCTACTTGAGATCAGCCCTTGTCGTCGCCTGCCCATAGAGAGGGAATAATGACTGCGGAAACCCAAGAAACTTGCTCAATGCCACTCTGTGAGTCAACGCTGCACTCGTGTGCGGCACCCTGATATGTCATGTCCAATTTGCATACAGGGGTTAGAACCGCAATGCGTATGCAATTGCAGTCGGCGTGCCTCTGTGTTCCTTGCATGTAGGAGCCACGTAGTCTGTGATATCCGTCTATGTTGTGCGATTCAATGCTGCAACTGCAACTCCGAGAATTACATGCGGCGCTTCCACAGTTCGCACCCAAAGCAGTCCTGTCTGGTCTGCAGGGGTGGCCACTTGTGCCATTTTAAAGGAGTCTTCTATGGCGGTGAGTATTGAGAACCCTGTGAAGTTCGTCTTTCCTCTGTTGTCTGTTCTTTGCCTCTCCACTTCCCTCTTCTGCCCCTTCTCCCTCCTCCATTCCAGGCTTCCTATATAACTCCACCCCCTACCCCTTTCCTTCCTCCCTCCTCTTGTGTACTACTAGTAAATGCATTCAAATGAGCATCATTAAGTGAAGAGACAAAATACAAGCTGAGGATCTCAAGAAGAATGAACAGGAGTTTACTTCTCCCTTTGCTCTGCCTCCTTTCATGACGTGCAAGTGGGACGTTATGGCACATGGGGATGTGGGCAGTTGGTGCTCGATCACAATCAACGCGGTCAGCCTTGTACATGAGAGGCACAGTGAAAGGGGAGCTGCAAGAACAAACATAAGGGGTAGCCCAAGTAAAGGCCAAGTAAAATTGTTAAGAAAGGGATACTGTGCTCCATGTCTCTTGCTATAGAGGTTAAAACTGTTTCATCGTTGGATTGGCTCATCTCAAGTGTGCCTCATTGTCTGCAATAGAGGTAAAATTTTTTGGATCTATTCATCTGGGTGAAACAGATGCTGTTGTGGTGAAAATGTATGACACCCACACACGCGGGGCGAAGTTGTGTGTAGCGGACATGACAACACACTTTATCGCCTGCCCATAGAGAGGGAATATCTGCTGTGGGAACCCAAGAAACTTGCTCAATGCCACACTGTGATGTCCCACCTGAGATTTGGCTAGCATGCGATTGGCATGCTTTATGTCTTGAGGATTTTAAGGTATAGTTCATGCAAGGCTTTGTATTCATAGCTATGATGACAGTCAACATTGTACTATGTTCAACATCCTCACATGGCATTCCTCTTTGTAGATGGGCTTATCGGCAATGCATACACAATTGCGGTCGGCGTGCCGCGGTGTTCCTAGCATGTAGGAGCCACGCAGCCTGTGACATCTGTCTATGTCGTGCCCCTCGATGCAGCAACTGCAAAAATGTGATTCCACTGTCCATACCTGAACCGCTTTGTCCAGTCTGCAGGGGGGCAATTACTATAGTCATCGCCTGCTCCTCAACTCCAATTTCCCTGCAACCCAAACACTGACTGGCCTCGTGCCATTCCATCGTAGTCTGCTTTGGCGGCGAGCACCGAGAACCCTGTGAGGTTTGTCTTTCCTCTGTTCCATTCCTTGTCCCTCCTCTCCCCTGCTCTCCACTTCTTCGTCCTCCCTCTCGTGTACCCCATCCATTTTCTTTCCTCCCTCCCCTTGTGTAGCACTACTAAATGCATACGAATGAGCATCTTTAAGAGAACAGACAAAATTACGTTGAAGATCTGCCGAAGAATGAACAGGAGTGTGTGCCTCCCCCTTTACACTGCCTCCTTTCAGTGTGCAGGCGGACCTAATGGCGCAGTGGGATGTGGGCAGCTTGCGCTCAACCACAGCCAGCATGGAGGAGCCTGTATGTGAGGGGCACAGTAAAAGGGGAGCTGCAAGAAATAAAACAGAAAACCCCAAAACAACCCAAAGGAAAGTGATGAAACGGCCTATACAAGGGAAAGGCAATCTTCTTGTTTGGTATTTCAATATTGGATCTGACGATTTTAGTATTGCCACCCAAATCATCCCCAGCTGGAAATTACTGCCACAAATGTGTCTTATCGTGAGTGATTGCAGCAGGTATTTGTTTTGATGGTTATGGATGTTCTGGATGTCTCATGTGATGTCTGCACGGTTTGCAGGCTGGTGAAAACATCCGGCTCTGGGAGGCCCTGACTAAGACGGTTGGGGAGCTGGCAATGCAGAGGGATATGTTATGGCGCCTTCAGGCCGAGGTTCTTGCTCTTCGTGTCAGGCTTGATGCAGTGAGCACATCACCATACTCGTGGGGAGGGCCTCCGTTTATTGGCCAACAAGGTGGAGGTTCTGCACCACCTACTACTACTTCGGGAGGGCCATCATGGCTCCGGCCAGATACGGCACCACTGAAAGGAACGGGCACGAATGGTGGCCCGAGCGCGGGTGATGGGGCAAACCCAGATGGCGCCAAAATGGGGGCAAGAACTGACATTTCAATTGGAAAGAATGGCACAGGTGCTGCGGCCTTCTCTGCTGCTGCTGCATGTGGTGTCGATAATGATTATACGCTAGCAGATCACAGAAATCTTGCACAGGGAAATGCTGGAATGCAGGACTGCGAGCCGACATCCATGGAGGGGTTGCAGTCTGAAGCCGGGAAGTCCGTCAGGGAAATGCAGGAAACAAAAGACTCTGATACTCATGATCGAGGCATGGGTATGGGTAGTGGCGGGATGGAAGAGGCGAAGCAAGACATGGACAGCATGCAGGCAGGGGCTGCAGCGACGGCGGAGGGAATTCGCACTGATGGTGGGCGAACGGAGAGCGATGCACTAGAACAAAGTTGCTTGGGTGGTGGAACTGGCTCAGAAATCACTGGCGCAGATTGTGCAGCGGCTGGGGAGTTTGTATGTGATGAGGGTCACATGCAGGAGAAAGGAGGGGATAATGCCAGGTTCAAAGAAGCCAATGCTGTCAATGAAGCTGGGGTTTGCAGAGCCATGGAAGAGAGAGATATGTTAGAAAGGCATATGCTAGAGGTAGGGAGCAACAACCCCTCGGGCACTCCCTTTGAACATGATAAGGAAGTAAGGTACAATCGGATTCCCGGTCCGTGGAGCAAGGAACAGGACAATACGGCAAGGTTAGCTCAGGACAATTCACCTAATATGGATAGGGGTGGAAGCCAACTCGGGCTTGAATTGGGGATGAACAAGATGGGGGTTCAACAAGAGGTAAATGTACAAGGTAAACAACATGAGATTGATGGCAGAATGGGGGATAGTACGGATGAAGATGATGGCAACAGGCGCAATGAAGGGGGCAGGGACGTTTTCCATGTGGATGGGAGGGATATGGGAGGCGTGGAGAGTGATGGAATGTCGGAACTACCCAGAGAACTGTTTAATGCGGAAAAGGATGGGGGATCCATGCCCGGTGACCACCGTGCAGAAGGGAGAATGGTACAGTCAGGACATGAAGGCTGTCATGGGGGTGGGCTTGAGGATGCTGCTGAGGGTAATGTGTCAAACCGAGGGATGAGAAGTGAAGACAACGAAGGTGCCCATGGCAGGATGCAGATTGGTCCCGGGCTAGAGCTTCTACGGAACTTGCCCCAAAGAAGAGCTGGGCAAGAGGTGAATGAAGAGATTGAGAGAGGTGGAAATATGCATCAACAGTACAGAATGATGGGTGTTCTCGGTGATGGCAGCAACACACCCATCCCAGGCCATAGTGACTCATCTGCAGGAATTCCCTCTGGATTATCTTCGGACAGCTCACAGCAAATGGTCAGTAAATCTGACCCTGACTCTCTCAATTTCCCCCCTGCTCCACGTCCCTTTCCTGCTGATTCTCTTTCTCTCACTTCCTTGCTCACTCCCGTGCTTCCCCCCTCCCCGTCTCCCTCATGTTCCTACACACCATGCCAGTTCGTCCCACGTTTCTTTGAATGACAGACTTCGAGTATGGGGTGTCCTAATCCCTGGATCCTTTTCACCGAGCCTTCCCTTATCGCTCTGACCGTGTGAAGTACAAGCAGTCCGATTGAGTGGTCTTGGAGCATTTCTGGGTATTGGCTTATATGTACTTGATCTTGAAGCACTCAAGTGTCACTTCAAAGCCAAGCCTTGTGATGTAATGCTTGTGCTAATTGCAGGGCTGCTTGGTGAGTGCATATGTCAGTAGAGCATTGAGTCCAGGGCATTCAATATGCCGATGATGAATTGTGTTAACGGTTTATGCCCATTCCATGATGCTGCCACCAAAGCATGTTCATCTTGAGCACTAAATAACATTCAAAACCACTACGCAATGCAAGGCATTCAGTACTACCAGTCAAATGAGCAATTGGTGGTACTAGTACAGGTTGTGAAAACATCTAAACTGCCCTGGGTATGCTGCTTGCACTCATGTGCAATGAAATAGGCTGAGGTGGAAAGCAATGGAAGTACTGATCTTGTACTTGCCTGAAACCAGTATGCCAAATCTGCTTGGCCGAGCCTCACTCTGCACGGAGTTCGCGTTCTCCTTCTGTCGTGGTCTGCAAGGTCTGCAACCTTTGATCTTTGCGGTCCTGATCATGAGTATGAATGGGAGGGTGGAACAGAAGGGAGGCCAGCAGTGGGTAATAGTGACGACTTACGTGCAGATCATTTTATTTAGTTACGTGCATATCATTTTATTTAGTTTCCCGCCTTCCAAAACAGATTGTTGAAGCCAATGAAGATGAGGGGAATGACAAGCGGGGGGGGATGAGTGCCCCTTATACACGATCAATGACAGAGCGAATGACAGGAATTATAATCATGAATTTGAGGATGGAAGTTGAGGCTCCGGTGAATGAGGGGGGAAGGGGGTAGGCACAGTGAGAAAGGGGTAACAACTTTCCTATTTGGGAAGCGGATGGTGTGATTGCAAGAGGATTGGTGGGAAGAAGCGGAGGGGACAAAAACGAGGATGTGGAGGAGAAATGACTTTTTGTCAGGTTTTCTCTCCCCTAGGGGCTGGCGATCATGAACTGGAGGGTGGAAAGGCAGGGAATGAGAGGAGTGAAGAGGAGGAGCAATAGGTTATAGTGTTTTACAGGTGCATGTTTTTGTCTGGCCCCTTAAGAGGAGTGAAGAGGAGGAGCAATAGGGAATAATGTTTTACAGGTGCATGTTTTTGTCTGGCCCCTTCTTCCGCCGCTCACTCTTGGCAGATAGAATGTGGAAGCGCAGAAAGAGTTGAGATGATGAAAGGAGTATGAGAATCCGTATGATTATATCACGGGGACAAAGTCACAAGGACGAGGGAGACTGAAGGTCATAAAAGAGAAGATGAGGGGAAGGTGGAATGAGGGAGGGTGGGGAGGAGGAATGAGGGAGGGTGGGAAGGAGGTGTAGCACTTTGAAACAGTGACAGCTTTAGCCTTTGCAATAGATCGTGAGAGCTCATGAAAAGCTGGTTGAAGACGAGGTGGAGAGGAGTGATGGAAGGAACGTGGCCAGTAATGGGCTTTTCTTTCTGTGTAATCTTTGCCATTCCCCCGTGTTGTTGTGAGCGAAGTCTGGATAGGTCACCTAGTCAGCGGTAATGTAATGCATGGGTATCTTCTGCACTAGTTTGTTCATCTGTTCGACTTGGCTGTTGGCTCCAGGTGATTCCCTGATGTCTCTTCAGTTCTGTTCCTAGCTGGTCCTGCCACAGTTCACTTATGAAGCCACAGTTCACTTATGAACGGCACATCCCTAAGAGCATCGGCGTTAGGGCTGTGCCGTTAATGCCTAGGTAGCAGCTGCACTATTTTCTTACTTTTTTTTTGTTTTTGTGCAAAGAAAATGCATCGGCCGCATGCCACACACACACACACACACACACAGAGACAGACACACACACACACACACACACACACACAGAGAGAGAGAGAGAGAGAGAGAGAGAGAGAGAGAGAGAGAGAGAGAGAGAGAGAGA